TCCTCAGTGGGATATCCTATGACTGCAAGCTGGTGGTGGGCTCAGTGAGGCTGTGCTGCTGGTCAGCAGGGGCCACATATACAGATGGTGCTCCTTAGTGTTGAAAGACAAAACACTGGAAGTTGAACCTGCTCTTAAGAGTTCCTTATTTTTTTAATCAGGTATACAACATAGTGATTCGACAATTGTATACATGCTGAATCGCTCACCACAGTAAGTGTGGTTACCCTCTGAGAGTTACTTAATATCATCGGTGAAGCAGAGGAAAACGTGCTCCTGTGGCAGAAACGATAGGTGTCCTGCACTCCTTTTCACATGCAGTTGAACACAGAGCACGATCTAGATGTTTTACACACTACATCTTTAAGGAATTTCTAAAATAAGGGTGGTCCTCCCTTGAGGTGGGATGCTGAGAAGCTACCAGGTTGGCTCTCTCTGTCCTGAACTTGGTAGGAGAATGAGGTCTCAGTGCATTAAAAGGGCATTTTAATCAGGTTATCTGGAGTGTAATTCTGTAAACTCTTAAGGGACAGCTCCAGATTTGGTGCCTATAGAATGAATGAAAATAGGGGTGGTGTGACAGTAGGGGCACCTGGGAGGGAAGTTGTTAATCCTTGAGACAAATTCTAGGACCTCTGAGTGGCTCTCAACTGGGGAAAACTGGCCTACACTCAAATTAAGTAACTTATCCTCAGAAAGGAGAAAACATATTTAGTTTCATCTGCTAATCTAATCAGCATTATGGCCTAATATGGTATTGTTTGTCGTAGAAAGCTGCATATTCTGTGACATCTCCAGAGTTCATAAAAAATAAATCTCCTCAGAGCTAGAGGGTAGTGTCCTATACAGTAAAATAAAACTACCATGCATTAAAGACCTAACATGCTCCAGTTATTCTGCCAAGTGCTCCGTATCTATCATACGTCTTCCAGCAGTCTGATGAGATAGGGCTTATCAGACATACTTTGTAGATGAAGAAATTGTAGTTTTCTCAGGTGCACATGCCTGGTAAATGTCAGAGCTGAGACTAGACCCCTGGCCCAAAGTTCTCTGGAGCTCTCACTTTTCCACTTTTCCAGCCTGAGGCACACTATTCCTTTCACTACTCCAAGATGCATCCGGAACAACTGAAAAACAAGGGGTTCTTGCCAAAGTGCTTAAAGAAGTCCTGGTGGAGGAAGGAGAATCGGAGAATAAATCTCCCCTTGGGGATTGTCTTTGGGCTGCACTTACTACGATGCTGCTGCCTGTCACCCCATGGTTCCCTGGCTTCTCACTTTGCCTGGGTGCCAGCCCAAGTCCCGCACCACCACTGTTCTGCCACACAGCTCTGTTCCCTGGGACCTCCCCAGTGTGCCCTCCTGTCCAAATTGGAACCTCCTCTGCTTACCAGCTCTTCACTGTGTCCTCGGGAGGCTGCACCCCGCTTCCTGTGATGCAGGCACTCCAGAATGCACTGGCTCCCCCCGCTAGTTAAAGCCTTCCAACTCTCTACAGGTGTCTCTTGGAGGTCCCATCCCTCAGGGGCACCACAGACAGTTAACTTTAGGTACCTTAACTGAAGTTTTTATTACTACAGCTCCACCCTCCACTGTAGGTTATCTGGAGCTTAATTCTCTACAACAGTCTCAGAGTGTATTGCAAATGAACAGTAAAATAAAACTACCATGCATTAAAGACCTAACATGCTCCAGTTATTCTGCCAAGTGCTCCGTATCTATCATACGTCTTCCAGCAGTCTGATGAGATAGGGCTTATCAGACATACTTTGTAGATGAAGAAATTGTAGTTTTCTCAGGTGCACATGCCTGGTAAATGTCAGAGCTGAGACTAGACCCCTGGCCCAAAGTTCTCTGGAGCTCTCACTTTTCCACTTTTCCAGCCTGAGGCACACTATTCCTTTCACTACTCCAAGATGCATCCGGAACAACTGAAAAACAAGGGGTTCTTGCCAAAGTGCTTAAAGAAGTCCTGGTGGAGGAAGGAGAATCGGAGAATAAATCTCCCCTTGGGGATTGTCTTTGGGCTGCACTTACTACGATGCTGCTGCCTGTCACCCCATGGTTCCCTGGCTTCTCACTTTGCCTGGGTGCCAGCCCAAGTCCCGCACCACCACTGTTCTGCCACACAGCTCTGTTCCCTGGGACCTCCCCAGTGTGCCCTCCTGTCCAAATTGGAACCTCCTCTGCTTACCAGCTCTTCACTGTGTCCTCGGGAGGCTGCACCCCGCTTCCTGTGATGCAGGCACTCCAGAATGCACTGGCTCCCCCCGCTAGTTAAAGCCTTCCAACTCTCTACAGGTGTCTCTTGGAGGTCCCATCCCTCAGGGGCACCACAGACAGTTAACTTTAGGTACCTTAACTGAAGTTTTTATTACTACAGCTCCACCCTCCACTGTAGGTTATCTGGAGCTTAATTCTCTACAACAGTCTCAGAGTGTATTGCAAATGAGCTGCTGACTAGCGTCTTACTGTTACAGAACATGCTGGCTCTTGGGATGTAATGGGTGTTAGGTTTTGTAAACAACGCAGGCATTGTCAGTAGGATTTTAAAGGGGTGCCTAAGTAGAGACTAGCCACTGAACACATACCCCAGTGAGTGAGCTTACCTAGGTGGGCAGTAACCAAAGCTACTTTTGGAGATGAGGAAAGATCATGGCAGTCACTGTGCAGCAAACATGTATGGAGGCTGAATTCCTCAGAACCTAGAGTTCTTCTCAGAGGGGGACAAATTGTTTGCTGGTAGACATGCTTTCTTTGAACATCAAAGATGAAAATAATTCACCACTCCTCTCAGGTGTCTTATCCCAGTCCTTGCCCCAGAGGAAAGTCATGGTTTGTGCTGTGTCTATTGGCACCTGTTACAGCTTCCTGCGTGCTCAGTCATGCTGAGGGTTGCCCAGACTCACAAGTTAAGGTTGTGACCATGCTTCAGTACAAGAACATTCTCATCCCTTGGAGACTCTGGAATTGATGCAAAAGGTGAGTGCAGAAAGGTGCTGTGGAGTGAACAAGGTGAGCCCTCCCTACTGAGGTTTTACAGGGTCTTTTTGAAAATTTGACGGGATCCTGTGTTTGAAAGCACCTCCCACGTACCAGGAGAAAAGAAAAAATGTTGGACAACTGCAGGGCAAATTTGGCCTCCTTAGAAATTTCACAAGGAATAGAGGGGGTTTTTTTCATACCAACTTTAAGAGTTGCTCTTTTATTGAGTATTTACTGTGAAACAGTTTATGGGAGAGACTGTAGCTGCTCATTCACATCCTGTCTTATGCTCCTTCCTGGGCTGCTGGGGAAAAGCTCAGTCCACTTGTATTTAGGAAGGGTTATGTGACTACCACTGACACTGAAAAATGAGCAGCAACAATGTCACCTCCAGGCCAAGCTATTTGGGAACCAGTATGCCACCTCCACACTTTGTCCCATTCAGTGGCAAACACAGATGTCCCTTGCTAAGAAGTGGAACCACTTGATGGGAGCAGCCTGGACACCTGGGTCACCTGACAGGGGAGGCCGTGCCTACATGCATCACAGTTTATGTGTAGAAGATATGAACTTTTGTTCTTTTAAGCCTCTGCAGGTCTGCAGGTGCTGTCTGTTGCACCAGCTAGCACTGAGTTTATTTTATTCGTGCACAACTGCTAATTTTGTGGCTAGACATATTTAAATCTTTTGACTACAAAGGTAATAGTATATATTATACTGTTATATATATTCTTGCTGAAAAAAATTCTAACCGAATAAATTACAACCTCCCCCTTTCCTCAAAATACAGCTCCTCCCTCAAATTGATAACCACAGTGATCAATCTGATGTGTGTCCTTTCAAAGCTGATATGCGCCTTTTTCATATATATATGTGCTATAACAATATACTAAATTTTTAACGGACTTGATTAACAATACACACATTGTTCTTGACCTTGTCACTGAATGAAGGGAATGCAGGACAGTTCCATGACACCACATATAGATCCACCACTTTCTTTTAACTACTCTAGAATTCTTCTGTTTTCTAAATAGGTTTATTGCGATATAATTGATATACAGAAAACTGCACATATTTAATCTCCACAATTTGATGACTTTGGATATATGTACATACCTGTGCAATCATCACCATGATCAAGGTGATAGACAGTCCATCACCTCTTATAGTCTCCTTTGTGTCCCTCTGGTTTTTTCTTTTGTGATAAAAACACATAACATGAGATCTACTCTCTTAAAAAATGTTTAAGTTCCTAACACAATGTTGTTAACTATAGGCACTATGCTGTAGAGCAGATCTCCAGAACTCATTCAGCCTGCAGAACTGAAACATGATACCAACTGACCAACTACCCACTGCCCTGTACCCTGAGCGCCCAGTAACCACAGTTCTGTTCTCTGTTCCTATGAGTTTGATCATTTTAAGTGCCTCATTTAAGTGGAACCATGCAGTATTTGTCCTTCTCTGACTGGCTTACTTCACTTCATATAATGTCATTCAGTTTCATCCATGTTGTTGCAAGTGGCAGGACTTTCTCTTTTAAGGCTGAATACTATATCACTGTGTGTGTGTGTGTGTGTGTGTGTGTGTGTGTCACATTTTATTAATCTATTTATCTTGGATGGACATTTAGGCTGTTTCCACAACTTGGCTATTGTAAATAGTGCTGCAAAGGACATGAGAATACACACATTACTTTGAGACACTGATTTCCATTCTTTTGAGTATATTCCCAGAAATGAGATTGCTAGATCACATCGTAGTTCAATTATTCGAGGAACTCCCGTACTGTTTTCTATAGTGGCTGCACCATTTTACATTCCCACCAATAATAAACAAGTGCTCAACTTCCTCACATCCTTGCCAACACTTCTCATTTCTTTTGGTAATAACCATGCTAACTCATATGAGATGATATATCATTGTAGTTTTGATTCCCACTTCACTGATAATTACTGATGTGGGGCACCTTTTCACACACCTTCTGGCTGTTTGAAGGGGAGATCATCAAAAATAAGACAGGAGCAATCAGGGCATTGCAAGTCTTCATTGCACAGAAATATTAATGGTGTATCAGAGGAACTCCAATTATCATGTTCCAATTTGCCCTCCATGCCCCAAATAAACACAAAGAAAAGGTAAGGATTATCGTATGTTTGTGTGATAATTAATTTAACCATACTCCGCCTAATGGACAGTTTATTTCCCATTTGTTGCTATAACTAATGGGACTGAAACTGACATCTTTGAGCATGAAATCTTGGGCAAAGGTTTTTTCTCATAGGAAAGACAAACCAAAGTGCAACTTTCATTAAAGTGGGCAGAATGTGAAGACTGAAAATTTTTACAAATATTGCTGAACTATTCTTCCAAAACTGCCATACCTATTCATAGTCTCTCAGATTAATGTGTATGAAGACTTCTCTTCTCAAAGGCATCATATCATCATTCTTTTAGATTTTAGATTATGTCATTATTATTTTAATTTTTATTTCCTGTTCTCAAATAGGTTGAGTATAAAATTCAATTAATCCCTTACCCATATAGAGCTGGATTTCTGCATTAATGTCTTCAGCACCCAGATTTTTCTAGGAATACTTAACATCCTGAAATATCAGCAAAATATCCCTCCTTTACTTGAAAAAGCAAGGACTTGATCAGAATGATCATTTGCTGGGCAATGGAGACAGGCAGGGACACCCTTAGCTACTGAAGATCTGAGGTCAGAGCAAGTGTCAGAGTCCATGGGAGACATTGCATGCGAAACTTCATCCAGACAGCCCAGGGCAGGCTGGCACTTGGCACCCGGATCTGGAGTGTAGCGTAGGGTAAAGAAGGGACCATAGGAGAGTAGAATCTGGAATGCAGAATCTGGATGGAAGGCCAAGACAATTTCTGTTAATAGGCTGGGGAATCTGTGCATTACCAATGCCTAGAAGTTGTGGGCAGGTCTACTGGGGGAAAGAGCTAGAGGCATGCCAAACACCTCACCTTACCTTGCAATCGTCCTTGCATACTGTCAGGGGGACTATACATAGCTTTTCTGCATATCACCCAGTGATTTCTTGCCTCTTCCGGTGGTTCACAGTCTCATCAGCATTCCTGCTTAGGAACTGCGTTGATGGCTGCTGGAGACTGGTATTTCTACGCTGTTTATAATGCCCTCTTCCACAGAGTTTGAGGCAATATGAGTGGGCAGGCTGGGTAAGTGACAACAATTGAGACAAGCCAGGAGTACCAGTGAGCACTAGAAAGATCCCTACAACTGCAAGGAGGGGGAAACTGAGGGGGGCTGTCCTGTGGCCAGGTACCTCAGCGATGCTGCAGAAAAAGGGCTGAGTGTGGACATGTCTAGAAAAAAATGATCCAGAAGGTATGTCCAACTCAGACTATCCTCCATGGTTCCTGAGTTCTTGGCACACTAGAGGGCAGATGTCCTGTGGCTGTGTTTGGTGACCTATGCTGCTATCAGATATTTCCCAGGGTAGGAGGTTGACTGGAAATGCAGACATTTGCAGGGTGGACGGAGAACCTGTGGAGATGACACACTTTCTTATTAAATTGACTGGATGGCAGGGATGTGTGGTGTCCAGAGCCCTATCTTTATTATTGTAAAAATCAGACTTGATGGACTTGAAAAAAATATTCTGAACCAGCCATTCCCAAAGTTATCACATGATCTGTAGTACAATATATATCACTATTCACTATGGGATGTTACTATAGAGTATGTAGAAGATTAGTGTTTCTAAGACGGTCACATACATTGCATAAGTGGCAACTGAGTGAGACTAATCACGGTGAAGGAGATAAGAAATGTGGTTTATTTCCTTGTATTAAATATTTAAAGAAGTTGGCATATTCTCCCATTAGCAGATTTTTTCCCTAGCTTTTATTTTTGGCTACTGCTTTATCTTTTCTGCCAATCATAACCAGAGATAATTCCATGTCTCTCCTCCCACATTTATATGGACAATAGTTTCATATCCTATCACCTTTGTATAACTGCATTTTATCTTAAATCACTGCATCTATCAGTACCATATTATCAGCAGGTGACCCAGTAAACTTAAAAAGACCTCAGGAATCCTGTCCTATGAAACTGAATATCGGTGGACTCTACTGCTTTTCCAAGTTGCAGCTCCCCTGTTTATTTAAAATCTTTTATTTCTGAAATAATTTTGGACTTGAATAGAAACTATAAAATTAGTAGAGAATTTCTGTAGCCCTTACCACCAGCTTCAGTCAAATAAATCTGTTTACACTGACAGTACATTTACCAAAACTCTGAAGTTGATGATAACAATACTAAATCATAATCAAATCTGTATTCCATCAGATTCAAACAAGCATGTTTTTGTTATGGTTTTTTCCCTTTGGCATGTAGCTAAATATAATTTTATCACATATGCAAATTTGTGTATAAGGACACAGAACTTTCCCCAAACCCCAGAGTAACTCTTTTATAATTAAACCAAATGTAATCCCTGGCAACCACTGATTTATTCTCCATTAGAATATTTTTTTCCCGTTTTGAAAATACTACAAAAACGGAATTAAAAATTATGTAACTTTATAGGATTGACTTCTTCACTTAGCGTAATGCATTTGAGATCCACCAAAGTTCTGAGCATGAAGAATGTATCCATTTGGATTGAGGTGTAGTATTCCCTTGAGTAGATGCACAACAGTTTGTCTATCCATTCATTCATCGAAGGAAATTTGGGTTATCTACAATTTGGGACTATTGCAGAAAAATTTTTACATACATTTGTGCATGGTGTTTTGTATGAACATATATTTTCATTTCTCTAGGGTTAATTCTCAGAGAGGGTCTGTTTTCAGATGGTAAGTGTATGTTTAACTTTATAAGAAACTGGTAAATTGATTCCCAGAGATCCTGGATCATTTTACATTCTCACCATCAATGAATGACAGATCTAGTTGCTCAACACCCTCATCAACATGATATTTTCAGCAATTTTTATTTTACCCATTCTAGTAGGTATGTAGTAGCATGTCATTGTAGCTTAAAATGATATTATACTAATGGGTAATGATGCTGAATATTCCTGTTTCTTTTTATCTACTATCTATATATCCTCTTTGGTGAACTGTGTGTTGAAGCCTTGTGCTCCTTGTTTTTTTTTGGATATAAAATAGATTTACTGAAATATTTCAGTAATGATGATAATGGTAACAATGATAATAGTAGCTAACACTAATATAACTTTTACTATGAGCTGGTAATGTTCTAAGCCTTTTATAGATATTAATATATTTAATCCTCACAGCGACCTTCTCAGGTACGTACTATTATTATCCCCTCTACACAATGAGGAAATTGAAGCACAGAGAGGTAAGTAACGTTCAGAAGAACACACAGTAAATCCGCAACAGATTTGGAAATGAAAACAAAGAAGTCTGGCTCCAGAGAGTAAGTGAAACCTAAAAGGTAAACACGTGCTTTCTATGAATTTATGTTAAATGCATAACAGCCAAAATATTATGATGTAAAATGTCTTTCAGTTTTGCATTTTTTATGTCTTCCGACAGCAGATGCATGGATTTCTTTTTCTTAGAAAATTAAAGGAATTAAATAGTGGTTCTCCTTATTTGTTTTAAATATTAATCTTTACACCTGTCATGGGATGTACCCATTCTAATAGTGTTCCACTCTGCCCTGTGGTTTACAAGATGGGGAAATTGTGTTTTGCCAAGTCGACACCCCATTTGCTTTATGCCCATTTTCTAATTGGATGATTTCTTTCTTACTGTTGAATTTAGAGAATTCTTTTATTTAGGTGGAGGGAAGTTACAACTCTTTCATTAGATATGTGATTTGCAAATATTTTCCCCCAATTGTGGTTTGTGTTTCCTTCTCTTAATAGTGTATTTCACAGAGCAAATGTTTTAATTTTGATGAAGTACTATTTATTAATGTTTCCTATTATATGGATCTAAAGTGAATTCTTGGAAGTCCTTGTGGTAGAGGTGAGCTGTGTGCCCTGAAGTTGGATTGGTTCTGTAGCCTGTAAAAAAGGCATATGACAAGATCAATGGAGGAGAAATGTAAAGTTCTGCACTTTTATCTTCCCATATGTCCTGGGACAATTTATTTCTACTGCTTTATTGGATGAATCTGAGATAGCACCACGGGCCACAGGTGGCAGTATCTAAGGGGTTATATAAGGATAGCACATCTGAAACCACTTTAGAGGTAAGCCCTGGCCCTTATTACTATTTTAATAGAATAGAGTGTATGGGTTAGAAATAGAATAGTGAATATCATAGTAAATCACACACAGTAAGGCTAGTACTTTTTCAGCAAAAATTTGAGATTGTGTAATACACCTACATGCATACTGTAGAAATTTCTGAGTGAGCACTCGTAGAGACTTTCTAACTAAGGAGACTTTGTTGGTGCAGCTCCTTTTGCTCAAATATAACATGAATGTTCACTACGAAGGCAGACATACTGAAAAAGATTAGCAAAGAATACAAGGAGCATTTCTTGTGACCTTCTGGGATGCCTCTGAACACATGGAGCTGGACTCTTGCTTTAATATGCAGAAAATGGACTCTACCAAGCACTTCTATGACCTTGTCAGCAAACTGGACAGTACTAAAACTGGGAGCTTGAATGGTGGCAGGGACTGCCCAGGAGCAGTCTCCTTGTAACTCCCGTTGGCATGAAGGTGATGAGGACCCAGATGGGGGTTGATTTAATAAGGGCAGGAGCAGACAGAGGGAAATTAGATGGGAAGTCAAATAGAATCTTAGTGGAGCTGAGGAATAAACTGAAACCGGAGCAGCAGTTCTGGCTTCTGAGGATGAAGAAGCAGGGGCTGGAGACAGAGCCATAACTAAAGTTACCCCAGAAGCAGTCGTAGATAAAGCCCAGGCCTTTCCTACTGCTACAACTGTGGCATTGTTCCAGGAGTTTTTGAGTCTCCTAGGTTACTAAAGAGTGTTCATCCCTCACTTGGAACAAATTCTGAAACCCTTATACTGTTTGGTACCAAAGGTGGGACTGGAATGAGACCTGTGCATCTGCCTATACTACAGCAAAATGGGCAGTCGAGGCCGTGCAGGCCTTGAGTGTGATAGACCCTTCAAGGCCCTGTGAGCTGGATGTTCATGTGACTGAAGACAG